AAGTGGTATTTGGATTCTATATGTAGCACGTCTAATTAGGCGGATATTTTTATAATCAATTCCGACCCATTCTGCGCACTATAAGGATATTATGCAATCCAAGATAACTACTAGTTGTTAAATTTAATCCGGTTTTAAATATATATAGAATCATGAACTTTAAATTAGAGTGGCTTTTTATGTAACATAAATTAGTGCTAAAAATTTTGTTGTGCTTAAAAGTAACATTGCAGATTGGTCACATGAAGTGTTGCTGCGCCACATTTGCAATTGAAATAATACGCAGGGGCGTTATTTAGAATTTTGGCCTGAATTAAGCTTAATTCAGGCCAAAGTTCGAAATTACACCACTGCGCGTTATTTCGCGAAAATACGGTACGTGAATACGGGCCCTTCGAAATTTCGCTGGTGATACCTATTCTATATTTATTCATTTTATTTTAAAAAAAAAATTATTTTTGTACAAATTTTAGTTAAAATTAGACAAGACTTTTTCCTTGTAATATGTAGCATATTAGCAAGCATCTAAAAAGCAAATCATTCAGTATCAAAATCTTTGATCGACGTTTTCAAGGAAACGGTGTGTTCGAGTTAAAGTTGGAAATTTTGGAGATTCATCAGATTCATCTATTTCTGTTATTTTTTTCTCTGAAGCTTCAGAAGCTGCTTGAAATGAATTGTATACAATTAATTTACAACAGTTATATTAAATTTAGAGAATTTAGTTTATTTTATTTTTGAAATTTACTTTAGATACCTAAAAATAAACAATTTTACCTTTATTATTTAAAATAGTATATCCACTTGCAAAATCGTCACTTCCTTCATCAAAATCTTCATTTCCACAAATTTTTTTAATTTCAATAAATAAATCTGTTAATTGTCTAATATCTGTGGTAATGAATTTGGTATTAAGAACTACAATATAATTCGGTATTAAGAACCTCTTAGTTGTTTCAAATCTGAAAAACTCAGATTTGAAGAAACAAAGGTGAGTTGATATTTAATGTTCATACGATGTGTCAAATCCGAAAAAGAAAGATCAATCATGAAACAAAGAAATGGCATAAAAAATTAATAAATCCTTTTCATTTTGATGTAGTTAAATAGCATTGATTTTCTCTTTTTGATTTCTCTTTTTTTTTGATTTTCAGTCAAACTCAATTCATTTAATTAGATTTTATTAGGAACGTTTTTTTTTTTTTTTACTGTAGCGATTTCAATAAAATGTCGCACACTATTTTCATAATAATAAGTCTCAAATATACCAAACAATAACCGGCAAAGATAATAATACAAACCTAACAATGAGCTCGACAAAACTAAAAACAACCTTAATACCTTCAAAGTAAATCTTGATGTTTCGGATTAATAAACCTTAGAGATCTCCGGTAATTTAAAAACATTTTAATTTTCCAAATAGTGTATTTTTGCCCACCTGATATTTTGAGTATATGCGCGTTGTTCAGGGCGCTTGAGACAATTGTTTTTTGAAACCCTAATATCGTGTGCGAGTCATATTGTGACGCACATTAATTATAAATTACGTAACGTAAACAAATAAAAAAAACACTTGTGGCTTTAATCGCGCAGAATGGGTCGGAATTGATTATAAAAATATCCGCCTAATTAGACGTGCTACATATAGAATCCAAATACCACTT